AGGCACTTTTTACCTTCTGCCAGTAAATCCTATACTCCTGCTGCTGGTCCGAGCTCGCCTGCTTCCTCCCCGGCATCGGTCGGGTCACGCCGGTCCTTGGGCATTGCTGCGGCGGCGCCGCCGTCACGGGCGGCTACCGCTGACTCGGCAGGTAATGGATTTACTGGCAGAAGGTAAAAAGTGCCTCAAGCAAAACAAAGCAGGAACAAGCTAAACCTCCAGGCACACAGCACACAGCGAGAAGCTGCACAATCACACACAAAACACAATCTCGCGGGGGGATCCTCGTTCTCGACGGCAGGTACCCTCCCATCCTCATGGCTGCAAGATGAAGGGCGATATCCACATCCCTGGAATCCGCGATCGAGGGTCCGAGCAGTACGAGGGCTTGATGGCGGACGTGACGTTGGTCCACCCTTACATTGGTAGCTCTGCCGACCTGACCAAGTGGGGGGAGGTCAACCTCGACGCCCTCCATGTTGCAGCGTCTGAGAAGATTCGCAAACATCGCGCTGCATATGCCATGACTACTCCTCCTCGAGCGTCATCCCTCTTGCCATCTCGACGGACGGTACCCTGCATCCTGACACCCTCCGCTTCATCTGGTATCTCGCGGACATCATTGCTCAGCGCTCGATGCCTCTTGAGGATGCGGCGTTTGGTCGGCACTTCGTGCCTGATGACGGACCTGCTGCTGAGGTCTTGGCTCGCAAACGCGCCGCCACCTATCAGCGCCTCACCATGCAGCTGACGCTGGAAGCGCTCTTGTCTGGTGCGAGGCGCATGACGCCCTTGCGGGCGCAAGCACTTCTCGAGCCAGAGGACAGCTCCTCCTCGGACTTTGTCGAGTCGCCCGAGGAGTCTTCGCCGGAGGTCTCCGACTCCGATGGGGGACACCCTTCGAGTGGCCCCGACGATCGGCGCGGAGCTGGCGAGGCGTCTCCGTCCCTCACTGTGACGTCGGGTGCCTCCGGAGAGCTCGACACCACTGGGGTGCTTGCTGCTGGTCCGAGCTCGCCTGCTTCCTCCCCGGCATCGGTCGGGTCACGCCGGTCCTTGGGCATTGCCGCGGCGTCGCCGCCGTCACGGGCGGCTACCACTGACTCGGCTACCGCTGACTCGGAGGCTAGCGAGGAGGACTACCTCGAGCGGTACCGTGTTCCTGTGTCCAGCCTCCCTCCGTCCGCTGCCCCAGGCGGACCCCCGGGCAACGCCGGCTCCTTGTCGGCGGCTGCCCTTTCTCCGTCCGCGGCCGCCCGCTTTATGGCGGCAGCGGACGTCTCGACTGACAGTGGTCAGTCGGCTGCCTCCGGGTATCGCGTCTAAGGGATTTTATTCCTCCTGCATGCTCCTGCTGCTTGTTGCTTGATTGCTTGACCCTTAGGCTGCTTGTCGGTACGGTCTGCGCGGCTTCGCGCTTGGGCTGGCGGTGCCGCGTCTGGGTGCCAGCAGTGCTGGTTCTTTTCGGGCTTGTGTTTTGTGTGTGATTGTGCAGCTTCTCGCTGTGGACTGTGTGCCTGCCGGTTCAGCTTGTTCATGCTTTGTTTTGCTTGAGGCACTTTTTACCTTCTGCCAGTAAATCCTATGACTTCCCGGGCACCGCCGGCTCCTTGTCGGCGGCTGCCCTTTCTCCGTCCGCGGCCGCCCGCTTTGTGGCGGCAGCGGACGCCCGCTTTGTGGCGGCAGCGGACGTCTCGACTGACAGTGGTCAGTCGGCTGCCTCCGGGTATCGCGTCTAAGGGATGTTATTCCTCCTGCATGCTCCTGCTGCTTGTTGCTTGATTGCCTGACCCTTCGGCTGCTTGTCTGCGCGGCTTCGCGCTTGGGCTGGCGGTGCCGCGTCTGGGTGCCAGCAGTGCTGGTTCTTTCGGGCTTGTGTTTTGTGTGTGATTGTGCAGCTTCTCGCTGTGCGCTGTGTGCCAGGAGGTTTAGCTTGTTCCTGCTTTATTTTGCTTGAGGCACTTTTTACCTTCTGCCAGTAAATCCACT